TGTGGGTCAGGGGTGTTGGGAATCCAGACAGTCCGGGAGGTCAGTGACTACTGGTGCTGGGAGTCTGGACAGTCCGACTGACCCGAGGTTCGGAGGGCACAGGAGGTGGCGATCGATGCGAGAAGACATCAGAGGAAGTCATCAAAGAGTGGGCGTTGAGGCCCAGGAATGGGACACATCTCGTGATTGTTGGTCTCATGGAGAGAGGAATGGTTTGTCGGCACCGGTAGTGATGGCAAAGAGGCAAACAAATGACTTACTGTTCACTCAATCCTTATAATTATAATAAAATGCTTATAAATTGTAAATTAAATGCAATTTTATTATAAATAATGTTAAGAATAACATAGAAATCATATTTAATAACTTAAAACTTATAATACAGTAATATGTAAATTCAAACATTTATTATAGTCTTAAAATTAAATTATATTTAAAATTATAACTGGAAAAACAATTCAAAAACTTTACCAAAACTTTATATGACTAGAAATATAACTTAATTATAAATAAATAAATAATTGACTGGAAATTTGTTTATCAATTAAATGAACACTGAATCGATTGGTTAACCATTAAATATAGAAAAGTAATGAATATTTGTTCAAATAATTTGTGGAATGAATGGTTAAATGGAAACATATTTTTGGTGACAATTAAGTAGAAATGTTTGAAATATTTATATAAAAATATTTGTTTTTATAGTGAAAACGAGACATCAATAAAATAAATGCATATTTGAGTCACTTTTTGATAGCCAAGTGAACAGAGATTATCCGAAAGCAGAACTAAATATCGATTAAGACTTTCAAACATCGACTAAAACAACTAAAACTAAATCAAATGCTTTCAGACTATTTAAGCCACTGATGGCCGGACACCTGTTTCATTGAGAATCGACTCTTGGGGTTGACATCCAGTTGTTTGCGGATTAAGTCGCGACAATCGTTGGAAATGGATGTTGTGGTGCGATAAGCTATATTCTCTTGCTTTGAATTTTTTGCCATTCTTTGCACCTGTTTCTCATGAAAAGGATAGCCATTGGACACCATGAAGAATAACACGACGCCCATTGACCACACGTCCGACTTGAAGGCGTCGTATGGCTGGGACTTCGATGTGTCGTTTGGATCAGATTTAAGTATCTCCGGCGCCGTATGGTATGGGCTACCGGTAAACGTAGTCTTTAGTACGCGCTCACCGGTGGTTGGGATGAAACAAGACGTCGAGAATCCAAAGTCCGTGAGCTTTGCGACGGTTCTGTCTATTGAGAAGTATGTTCTCACTCTTGAGGTCCCGGTGCGCCCAACCCCTCGAGTGTATGTACTCCAGTGCGCTGGCGATGCCTTTGTACAAACTTTTGGCCAACGGCTCCGGCATGCCTTTCGCGTAGTCCTTCTCACGGGTGACCATATCGAAGAGGTCTCCCCCGTCAGCCCTTTCCATCACTATATACATAGTGTTAGTGACGAGAAAGATGTCCATAACTACGGTTATGAACTGGTGTTTCAATTTCTCCAATGAATACAACTCTCGGGGCAGAAATTTCTTGCGATAGGTTTCTGATGTTTTGGACAAATCAATGATCTTAATGGCGACGCTCTCTGTCTTTCCGTCTTTGGTTTTAAGACCATCACAGACCACACCATAACTACCCTCTCCCAGCACTTTACCCAATGAATATCCTTCTGACTTCAATCTATTCGTGTGATCAATGGGTATCGATATTTTGTGACCAATTTGTGCCATTTTATCTTATGAATTAGTGATCGATTTGAAGCACTGGTAGTCTATCTCTTTGTATAACTGTTTTGCAACAGATTTTTGTGTGAATTTCCAAACGATTGCATTCGAGTTAACAATACTTTTCTAATGACATTCAAAATGAACTCCTTTTGACAATTACATCATAAGTTTTCTGAACGAGACGTTTGTTTTAAAAACTTTGTGACAGTTATGGATAGTCTCGTGAAAAGTTACTAAACCAGGTCTAGTAAATCTTTATAAATGAGAAAAACTGTTGAAATTAGGTTTTTCTAAACTTTCAATTTGTATAACGATTCATACGATTCCTATAAAAGACAATCCAATTGTGAATATAACTGAATATCTCTGTGAATACAATGAGTCCTCTGATGAGACATTTGTTGACGGCTTTAATACTAATCCAATTGAGCGCCGGTGTGTTGAGTCAGACAACAACTGAAAACCCAACAACTAATAAGAAGTTAAATTTATGGACCATTTTGATGGTCATACTACTGGTGGCACTGGTCATCGTCACCATTATCTGCATTATTCTCTACTATTTTGAACGGAAATGCATTAAATGTATTGACAATCAATTTATACCCAAAACCTTATTAATGAAAATGATGTTTACTATTATTAAAGCGTGTTTAACGAAACACGAGGACAGAGACAGACCTTTGGATAGCAATGAAAACAAACTAAGAAATACTAAATCAGAGGATAAGCCCAAAGAAGAGGCAACGAAGACAAGTGATGGCAAGTCTGTGACCAGAGTCTCGAAATCGGAAAGCCTTTCAACTCCTGCTCCCAAACCAGTAGTGATGACCAGTAGTGCCGCCAAGACTTCGTCTCAAGAGTCCGATGAGTCCGTTGAAGCCCTCCCTCCAGACGAGGGGAAACCGGACACACCTTTCCAGGGACTGCCCGACGAGTGAAACTCTGATCACAAAAATAAATTCAAAACATTTTCGTCTATTTTTATGTTTGTTTAACATTTGCTAAATTTTGATCAACTATTTTGATTTATTTTGTTATCCATTTCATTGAAATTTATTTTTTAATTTTGTGTATAAAATAAAATAATTTGGTTACGAATATGAATATAATTTCTAACTTTTCTTAATCAGTGATAAATTGAGATATTATTGATTTCGATGATATTTGCAATTTTTGTTTTTTCGTAGAATATTTACAAAACAAGAATTTTGTTTCATTTGTAATCTCCGCAAAATGTTTTGATGATTTTTGGCACAATCGCTGGTATTTATAGGAAACCTAATAAGTAAGACGTGATTCCGCTCTCCAAATGCAAAACCAATTGATTCAGATCTCAATTATATTTCAGGAAATGAGTGACTTTTTAGTGAATTAAATTGAAATTAAGACTAATTCGATATGAATTTAAAACTTTTAAAAAATCAATTATTAGCCATGAATAACTGTAATATACAGAATATCTCAATGCAATCAATGGTTTGCTATTCATAACAAATAACTCAATGAAAAACTAATTACTTTTTATTGTGAATCACTTTTATCTCAAACTCTTCACTCTCTGTATGTAATTATGAGTCAATTGTTATGATTCTGTGCGCCGAGTGCTGGTGGGGGCGGGTATTTCTGGTGGGGTTTGTCTGACGGGTTTGTCCGGATGGGTGTCTTTGGAATGTTCCTCAGCATTGGGTGGCTTTGGGTCCGACCCCTTCTTCGCACTCTTTTGTCCAGTCTTTGACTTGTTTTGTCCGCAACAGTACTTATATCCTCCATAACCGACCGCTGCGGCCACAATGACGCCCACAATCAGACCCCCTCCGCCTCCCTTCTTAGGCGGCACCCGTGGTTTCACACCTCCACTGCTCGGCTGTTGATCTCCTTTGGGACTCATTCTTAGCGATCAATTTGAAGCACTGGTAGCTCTTTGTCCGCTATTTTATAAGCATTTTGTGTATTTTTCAAACAATTAAATTCAATTAAAACACATTGAATTCAAAAATGATTTTAATTTTCAATTATTTAGAGAATATTCTGTTGAAATGAATGAGCAAGGATAATGAATATGTCATAAGTTATGAGTCATAACTGATCTGGGAATGCTCATTATAGTTTATATTTTACAACTAACTAATCAAATTTAGATTTATTAATTGATTAAATATTATCAATGTGAATTCTGTTCATATTTTAGTGTAAAATCTATTGTATATACAAAGTCTTAAATTTAGCGCTTATTTTATTTATGCATTGCATCGCTTACGTTATTAATGAGCATATATTTGTAGATAATTGTCAATGAATACGATAGTATAGTGAGTACAAGAGTTCGTACGAAAGTGTACGCACAGTCAGCATCACGTAATGTAAACACTCAACGAGTGATTCATTGAATGAATGCATGCATTGAATAGTGTTGTGATTTGTATGAACTGATTGTCACCGAAATCTTCACTCTCTGTATGTAATTATGAGTCAATTGTTATGATTCTGTGCGCCGAGTGCTGGTGGGGGCGGGTATTTCTGGTGGGGTTTGTCTGACAGGGGTTTGTCCGGATGGGTGTCTTTGGGATGTTCCTCAGCATTGGGTGGCTTTGGGTCCGACCCCTTCTTCGCACCCTTTTGTCCAGTCTTTGACTTGTTTTGTCCGCAACAGTACTTATATCCTCCATAACCGACCGCTGCGGCCACAATGACGCCCACAATCAGACCCCCTCCGCCTCCCTTCTTAGGCGGCACCCGTGGTTTCGCACCTCCAGTGCTCGGCTGTTGATCTCCTTTGGGACTCATTCTTAGCGATCAATTTGAAGCACTGGTAGCTCTTTGTCCGCTATTTTATAAGCATTTTGTGTATTTTTCAAACAATTAAATTCAATTAAAACCCATTGAATTCAAAAATGATTTTAATTTTCAATTATTTAGAGAATATTCTGTTGAAATTAATGAGCAAGGATAATGTATATGTCATAAGTTATGACTTATAACTGATCTGGGAATGCTCATGGTAGTTTATATTTTACAACTAACTAATCAAATTTAGATTTATTAATTGATTAAATATTATCAATGTGAATTCTGTTCATATTTTAGTGTAAATTCTATTGTATATACATTAAAGTCTTAAATTTAGCGCTTATTTCATTTATACATTGCATTGCTTACGTTATTAATGAGCATATATTTGTAGATAATTGCCAATGAATACGATAGTAAAGTTCATACAAGAGTTCGTACGAAAGTGTACGCACAGTCAGCATCACGTAATGTAAACACTCAACGAGTGATTCATTGAATGAATGCATGCATTGAATAGTGTTGTGATTTGTATGAACTGATTGTCACCGAAACACTTCCCACACCACCGATTGTCACCCCATTGTATGTGTCTGTAGTTTATGCTATTATTGGTGTAGTCTGTGAGTGATGTCTGTGGCCAACGGCGACGACCATTTGGATGGACCAGAATGTGGTGACACCGATGCCATCATCGCTGACATCAACCATATTAATGATAACACCGCCGATGATGAGGACAATGGATGGTAAGCAGTCAACTGTGGCACTAGTGGTGATGATTATCAATGAGTTAATGGTGTCTTCATGTGTGTCATTGAATAGGATCTTAGAGTTAGAGTCAGCACTTCTGGCCGATTGTGATCTCAATATCATTAAGAAGATAACGAACCAGAAGTTGGTTCCCAATCGCATGCGATACGAGTTCTGGCAGGTATTGGTCACTATCACTGACTGGTGATCACCAAACGGGTCTCTAATTATCTCTACGTCTATACCACTGATTAGGTTTGCCTGGGAATCAAAGGCAGACACAAAGTGTTGTCCGATATCTTTGATCTGCCGGAACAGTCGCTCATTAGATCCGATTGTCAGCAATTGGTGGACAAGTTTGCCAACTCTGACGACACGGAACGGGTGTCCATTCGGTCGGGCGTCGAGACAATTATCACGAATTTCGCGAAACTAAATGATGTGCAATACGTGGCCGATAACGGATGGCTCGAGATATTGGAACCGCTGTTGACGCTGAAGCTGAAGACCGAGGACTTGTTTAAAGTGTTTGAATCGATTCAATTGAAATATATCCCCAAATGTTACAATTGTCGCGATTTCGGACATAAGGACCAGTCGTTCAACTTCTTGCGACTTCTACTCCAATATCATGAGCCGGAGCTCTGTTCCTATTTAGACACTCTTAAGATTACGCCCGACCTCTACGCCAATACATGGGTTCGTTCACGAATTTACCACTGTTTCGTGTGTTTTATACGATATTAGGATTTGTTTTTATGGTTTGGTAGCTCTTAGTTATGCGATATTTTCGATGCAAAATAAGTTTAAAATAGTTTTTTAATTATGATTTAATTGATTGATTTGAATGGCAAGCAGTTGTCTCTCTTAGTAACTGGACGTATGATGAAGTGGTTATCCGTTTTGCGCTGACAACCAGTTTTTTAAGTGATATATAAAATTGCTTTAAAATCACTTTCACTTTTTTGTTCAGATAATAATAATTTGAAACTTTGTTTGTAGCGCTAAATGAATGTCAAATTGTAAACCACTTTTAACTGATAAGATAATCGCATATTTAAAAAGCCATTCAAATGTTTGTTTATTTATAAATCTTATTTAAAATCATAATTAAGCGCTTATTTTGTTTACACAAACTTATCTAAAAGTTATTTCAATTTAGTATTTTTGAAAATTCATTACCAATTGAGTGTATAATTTGATTGAAACGCTTATTTTGATCGTAAAAACTGATTCCGTGTTACCATTTCGCTATTCTGTAGTTCCGGAGCCTATTCTCTGGTCATTGCAATCATTCCGTAACACTGGCCCTATGGGACACATATTTTTCATTAGGAAATCCATTTCTGATTTACTTTCTCGCGCTCGTAATGTTAGTCAACGAAAAGTGAGTACTCATTGACTTATGGATCGGAAATTGAATTTTAATTCCCGTTGTGTTGTTGCGAAAGTATTCATTACACATAACATACACACAGCGATACTCTTAATGCCAAATAAACTTAATTATGAATTTGTGATTTTCACTGCCCTTTCCCTAGGAAATTGAATTTTAATTCCCGTTGTGTTGTTGCGAAAGTATTCATTACACATAACATACACACAGCGATACTCTTAATGCCAAATAAACTTAATTATGAATTTGTGATTTTCACTGCCCTTTCCCTCGCAGAGAGACCATAATGTCGATGCCGGTCGACAATAAGAAGTCGATAATTGATTACTTGAGTTCAGTGCCAAAAGCCCTATGCATTGAAGACATTGGAGATCTGTTTTATTTAGTGGAACAGCACTACGTCTCCCGGACCCCGCACACCATCAAAGTATTTGACATTTTATTTGTTTTTATAGTTTTAACGATATTTTAGTTATAGCTTTAAATTTATTTATTGAGTGAAACCCAGAGAAAAGGATTATTTTCGCTACAAATCAATTATATATCATATGATATATACGATAGGAATCTTATAATCGCATTATTTGTCGCTACAAAACATAACTCTTATATTGGATGTAATGATTGTATCGACGAATTACTCGAATATCCATTAATTAGAAATATATATAAGGAAATTGAATTTTAATTCCCGTTGTGTTGTTGCGAAAGTATTCATTACACATAACATACACACAGCGATACTCTTAATGCCAAATAAACTTAATTATGAATTTGTGATTTTCACTGCCCTTTCCCTTGCAGAGAGACCATAATGTCGATGCCGGTCGACAATAAGAAGTCGATAATTGATTACTTGAGTTCAGTGCCAAAAGCCCTATGCATTGAAGACATCGGAGATCTCTTTTATTTAGTGGAACAGCACTATGTCTCCCGGACCCCGCACACCATCAAAGTATTTGACATTTTATTTGTTTTGATATTTTTAGCGATATTTTAGTTATAGGTTTAAATTTATTGATTAATTGAAAACCAGAGAAAAGGATTAATTTTCGCTACAAATGAGTCATATGATATATACGATAGGAATCTTATAATCGCATTATTTGTCGCTACAAAACATAACTCTTATATTGGATGTAATGATTGTATCGACGAATTACTCGAATATCCATTAATTAGAAATATATATATATTTATTTGATATAATAATCGAGTTTTCGATACGATTTGATCCGTTAATTGTCTTTTTTCTGGCGGAGATTTAGGTCACCGCTAAGGCATGGAGTGATAGCTCTGTGACAACACATATAAAAGACGATTCTTTTTATTACTTTTTATGATAGAGAGAGAGAGAGAGAGAGAGAGAGAGAGACCCGAGTCGCGGGTGTTATGTCTGTCTCTGATTATGATTTATAATATGTTTCGCCACTAATGGCCGGGTATTGTATTAAATGTCTTATTATTTATACTCTATGTTGTGTGTCATATGGATGGGCGCGACAACACATACAACAGAACCTCCAGTCGCTGTTATTCCAGGCGTCCGAACCGGTCGAATGTGAGCCACAAATAACCGATTTGTCGCATATGCTGTGTCTTCCAGTGCCCGTCACAGACCTACTGCCCAACGCCTCGGCCATCAATTCTGTGCGCTATTTCTGCGTCGACTGCCGGCCCGCCGAGCAGTATAACAGCGGTCATCTCTCAACGGCTTTCCATTTGGACTGTTCGCTCGTAAGTGAAACATTAGATTTATATTACGAAACCACTTGAGCCCTACGCTCGCAGCACTGCCAGCAAAACAAGTCATTCATTACAATCACTTATAATTAAATTCTCATATTTTCTGTCGTCCGCTCTCTCCTCTAATGTCTTATCTCTTATTCGCTATTATTTTGAGCTCTACTTCACTGTAGAGATAAATGCCTGAATGGGAGAGAGAGAGAGAGAGAGAGAGAGAGAGAGAGAGAGAGCTAACAAAACAACAAATAAGTTTCATTCAATTATTTTTAATTAATTTGAAAGCTATTGGAAGAGCCGTCCGCTTTCAACACAGCAGTGAAGGCACTGTTAGCCGCGCAGAGACAGGCGATCGATGAGCAGTCGGTGGCGGGTGGCCATCACCTGTGCTTTATGGGTAGCGGGCGGGATGAGGAGGACCAGTACGTTCATATGGTGGTCGCCTCGTTCCTCCAGAAGCACCACCAGTTCGTGAGTCTGGCGTACGGCGGCTACGAGTGCTTACACCGACTCATTACGACGAACACCGATTTGGACCGCTGTCTGATTGACCACAACCGCAAACAGTGTATCGCCTGTACAGCCGCTAAGTCGCCAAATAAGTCCCGAAACGGCCCCAAATCCCAGCCCTCAACGACCGGCGCCCTCTCGGCAGACGTCGAGCACTTCACGAGCGCTCTGTTAGACAAAGTGGCGAACGCTGTGAAGCCTAAGATGAAGGAAATGAAGGACAAGTTTGTCGATTATGTCACTAATCCTAATCAACAACAAGTGGTCCGACACGTCAGCCCATCAGACAAATTGGGCAAAAGATATAAAGCCTTTAATCGTTTCACTATCGATGAGGATCTCGAGTCAGGCAAGTCTCGCACATACAATACTCTCGCCTTATATCACATGCCTGTCCCCCCAATCCATCAATTTATATATTATGTCTTTATATTGAATGCAATATATTAGGTGACACTTGAGTTCCGATTATCTATTTATTTATTACCATTTATGGAGATTTGTATTCATATTCTGTGCGCATAGGAATCGGGGAAATGAATTGAATTGACAAAGAATTTGTTTGTTAAACGCAAAGACAGGCTTATAGTGACTGCCGTTTCCTATACGCTACTAAAGTGCTTTACTACACGATAATTCTGAGCTCCCATTCCCCATGAGCTGACCAAACAGTTTATTTGTTGCTTAAACCCCACACACAACTAATACCGAACTCAACTCCTATAGTGAATGCGCTCTTAAATGAATATAAATGACTCGTAAGAGGAGTTCATTGTGTCGATCAAACTCTTTAGACGAGGAGTTGGAGTTTAAGTCAATTCAATTGAATTAGTTTTCCATTGATTTCTCTCGTCTTCTCTTTCTCCGAAACACATATAATTCAATAAAACGTTTTTCCAAATCAAAAGTTTATCAAAAACTTAAAGCATTGATCTAATTATGCGTTTGAGATGACATTTTCAATGCATTCAATTATAGATTATTTATTCGTATTAATCGTTAGGAGTCTTATATTTTATGGGGTTTTAAGTGAAATACAACTCTTTTTGTGTTTGTATTCAATGTATAGACGGTTTGGAATCGGATTCCAACGACGAGAGCGCACAGGAGATCGATATCGAGAAGTGGTCCAAAAGTCCAGAAATAATTGGTTGTTTCAAATGCCAAGAGATCAAAGATGACGGCCATATGTGTCCCAGGTTTGCACCGATAGCACCGACACTTTAACCATTATTTATTGGCTATTAATGAATTGATTAATTGATTTTGAATTGTATGGCGTTTGACAGTTATTTAGGGCTTTCCAACTCGCATTTGTTTGTATTACGGGAAATGTCTCACAACAAGAGTTTAGCCAAAATAATGGCCAAACGGCCGCTCGAAATGATAGTACAAATCACGTCGAAGAGGAGGTGTCCCGACTTAATAACATTCAAATACGGGCACACCATAGAGGGCGGCGAACCCAACGTGGTGGCCAAGGATCACCTCCTGATCCCCAAACCCTACGACATTACGCGACTAATCAAACAACAGGTGATCCGCATTCTCGACGGCGAGACCTCGTCGGGCAGTAACTCGTCGAGCAAAGCGTCTAACAAATAGTCGACTCGTGTTTTTTTTATTGTTTTTGTTTTGCTTTTTGTTTGTTTTCAACAATTTTTGAGACGACGGCGTAAGTGTCGCTGAAGTGATCGACGAAAACAATACAAAATTGAGACAATCTTTGTTTCCATACGTTACAAATGAAAAGTGCTTTAGTCTATCACTGACTAAACCCCTCGCTTTGATATATCTATTGATATATTATATTTGTGAACCCCTTTCCTCCCGTTCCCTCACTCCGCCATTCGTCTCTCGAAACTCTATTTATATATCATTTCATTGTAATGCAAATCAAATGCGATTTCCATTCCAGCCGTTCAGTCAATTGTGAGATACAGTGAAAGAGTTTTTTTTAAAGATTTTTAGTTTTATTAGTTTCCCTTTTAAAAGTAATTTATTTCTATTTCTGTTTGAAATTATACAATTATTATTTTTGTTATCATTTTAATGCTTAAATTAGTGGTATATTTGGGATTTAATGAGTGATTAAAATCTTCAAATACTGTTCCCATAATTATCTCCATATTACTCGTAAGTATTTAATTAAAGCCCAAAACATTTCCCATAATTAATGTATTTTTCTGTCCTTTTAAATGTCTTTTCATATGAATGTGTTTAAGAATTCCGTTTTGATTATTATATGTTTTTGTATTTTTCGAGTCGTTATTCTGGTTAAAGCCCCCAATAATTGAGTATTTTTTGATAAGTTGTGCACAAACTTTGAATATAAATTATTATTGCTATAATTTATGCAAAATATATGTTTTTAAATTAACTATTTATTGAAACGTTATCGTTATATGACGGAAGTAATTATATACTATTATATAAACTTTTTGTAAAGATTTATAAACTAATATATGAATGTATTAATGAATTAATACTGAATTTGATGAATTGTTAATATATTTTAAATTTTAAACAAGTCTTTTGATATTAAACTATAAATGATTGAACACTAAAATACAATGAATTTATAATCTATTTGTCAATTATTGACGAAAATAAAATATTTGATGAAAAATATAATCTGAGAGTTGTGTTTAAAAAAATCTTATTTCATAATAAGTTTCCAATAAATTAGTTCCCAAAGTATGAAGACTTGAAGACATAATTTTCTGGTCTCTCTCTCTCATCCGTTGTTTTATGTAAGAGTTTTTGTATTAGTTTTAGTGACGATTCAATGCTTATATTGAGATATGATTTATAGTCTATAGAGATGTGTTGTGTTGAGCCCTCTCAGCCGCACAACCATTCCCTCTGCATATCATAACTATATTCCTCTGCCAGTTATGAGCGCATCAATTATTTCCACAAAAATCTATTGATTTATCTCTGTTTGGCTATACAAGTATTTTTTGATAAGTTGTGCACAAACTTTGAATATAAATTATTATTGCTATAATTTATGCAAAATATATGTTTTTAAATTAACTATTTATTGAAACGTTATCGTTATATGACGGAAGTAATTATAAACTATTATATAAACTTTTGTAAAGATTTATAAACTAATATATGAATGTATTAATGAATTAATACTGAATTTGAAGAATTGTTAATATATTTTAAATTTTAAACAAGTCTTTTGATATTAAACTATAAATGATTGAACACTTAAATACAATGAATTTATAATCTATTTGTCAATTATTGACGAAAATAAAATATTTGATGAAAAATATAATCTGAAATTTGTGTGTAAAAAATCTTATTTCATAATAAGTTTCCAATAAATTAGTTCCCAGAGTATGAAGACTTGAAGACATAATTTTCTGGTCTCTCTCTCTCTCTCTCTCTCTCTCTCTCATCCGTTGTTTTATGTAAGAGTTTTTGTATTAGTTTTAGTGACGATTCAATGCTTATATTGAGATATGATTTATAGTCTATAGAGATGTGATGTTGTGTTGAGCCCTCTCAGCCGCACAACCATTCCCTCTGCATATCATAACTATATTCCTCTGCCAGTTATGAGCGCATCAATTATTTCCACAAAAATCTATTGATTTATCTCTGTTTGGCTATACATTGTATTCAGAGCTCATGCATTTCAAGCAGGGATACCCGACTCACTCATCCACCCATTCCCCCCCAAACACACCAGTGATCAGCGTTTTTGGCAATTTGGCGTAATTTTCAATAAAATTCTGTTAATTTTCAGTCCAAAGTACTAATTATTGAGACAGTAATTGCATTTTTATGCCAATTTAAACTCACCGATATGATTAGATTACGATAATATATCATAAGGGTAGGGACGCGAGGGATAGGATAACAAAAATCACGTCTATTACAGAAAACATATCATCTAACTCAACTTCGGTTTTAAATAATAAACTTTTTTGTTTCTGATCCTATCTCTCAATAATAGAAGTCTTATGTCTTATGATGCAAATTATTGAGTGATTGATTCTCTCTCTCTCTCTCTCTCTCTCTCTCCCGCATAGCTATTGTTATCACAAATAATTTACTTTCCATACAATTCTTTGGACAGAACTCAATATAATTCTCAATAATGTATTCACTAATAGTCTAAACCCAAGCGCTGGGAATGAAAGTAAGAATTTTTGACAAATTCTTTCACTTTTCTTATGATATAATATATTTATATTTATTGAATAATTAATGTGTAAGTAATGGCTTTTAGTATACTTTAAAGCAAATTATTCTTAATATTTTCTATACATACAGACATGTTTATACAGAATACACACATTCTTGATAATCAAATATAAATGGGAAGTCAAATCAAACGAATTTGAATTGCATTCAATTTTTATGTTACAATTACTTTTGCAAAAATAATAACACACTTGTATATCTCATTTGAATATTAATAATTTGACAAATAATACGTTTAATGTTTAGTGCATTAATCGATGACTTTTCTATCAAAACATTCACTCTTTTTATGGCTTTATATTCTAATTATTAAATATAAAAACGTTTTTATCATTTTTTCTCTATTGTCTGTCACTCACTATAACACATGAGAAACAATTCATTTGAGAATTGAATATAGATTTTGCAATTCTGTGCATATTTTGCATTCATTTCGCTATTCTCTAAGTATTTTGTGGCGATAATTATTTTTTTTGCTATAATAATAACTGGGATTTGAATGCATAGTAACTTACTGTAAGTATATAAGTAATAGTCTTTCAGAGAGAGAATACATATAATAAATATTTAGATTAAAATTTTCATTTCATTTATTAAAATTCCAATCGATTTCTGAAAACTTTGTGTAAAACAACTGAAAAATCGTTAAAGACTTTCAATATTTTCGTAGGCATTGGATTGGGTTCCGCGGAATCGATGCGAAAAATTATGTTTAAAAATATGAGGGAATTTGTATTTATTAAAAAATCAATTCAATTTCTGAACACAATTTTGTTTTTTGAGAGAAATTCTAGCATTTAATAACCAAATGTGAAATATTCTTGTTTTATAATAAAAAGAAATAACGGAATAATAATATTTTACTTAAAATAAAATGAGAATTTTTGACAAACATTTCACACAAAATGATATAACATTTACTAGCATTTTGTTGCTCTCTCTCTCTCTCTGAAAGACTATTACTTATATACTTACAGTAAGTTACTATGCATTCAAATCCCAGTTATTATTATAGCAAAAAAAATAATTATCGCCACAAAATACTTAGAGAATAGCGAAACTAAATGATGTAGGGGTTGATCGAAGTGTATGTACGCATGAGGGGAGGGGTCGTGTTTTGCGTACGATGTGCAACTAGGGGGGAGGGGGGTCAATTTTTGACCAAATTTTTGCGTACGTACTTTGTGGATGACGCCTAACGGAATAATAATATTTTACTTAAAATAAAATGAGAATTTTTTACAAACATTTCACACAAAATGATATAACATTTACTAGCATTTTGTTGCTCTCTCTCTCTCTCTCTCTCTCTCGTCGGAGCTCTCACTCCATATTAGTGTAGAAATGAATAAAAATAGAGTTTAGTTTTGCTTTCATAACAAATAAAACAAATTCTTATCATTTCGCGAAAAATTTAAATAAAAAATGGATACAATAAAAGCGTGTATATAAAAAACTGAATACAACAAAAAAAGGGAGTCTAGTATTTAATGTTTAAAAATATTGTTAAGCAATTCGTCATTACTATTAACAATGAATTCAGAAAATAGAGTAACAAAATAAAAGTAACAAAAAAGCTTTGTATACAAAACGGCAACCAAGAGATAGTAATAAGGGATTGAATGTACAGAATATTCTGTACGTATTATATATGCAGTGTCTGTGCATTATATGTGTATAACTGTAAGCATAAGGAATAGTACGGAACGAGTCTTTATAAGTATATATTGTATATATATTTTGTATTTTACTTTTTTATACTTTTTTAGTTGATATGTAAAGTAATTGAATTGTAATCGCATGACTGAATAAGGGCTCCAAAAGCAAAAATGTTATATAAGTTTGTGTGTCTGTGCCTCACATTTACGTTAGTCTTTAAAATACAGTGAAATAAAATGTAATTCCGTTGCGATTCTCATTATATTTGCTAAGAGTTAAGGAGTTGTTGTATAGTTTTTTGTGTGTCCCCGATCTCTCTCTCTCTCTCTCTCTCTCTCTCTCCAATAGCTTTTGTAAAAATGTTGAGTTTTGTAATACAAAAAATCACTTTCTTTTCCCTCACTTTCTTCAAACTCTTTAATACATATAACGAAAACTTATTCTCCAAAACACACTCTTATGAGAGACGACTGAAAATGTTATATAAAAAATAAAGTGAAAATCTACTGAAAAATACTACACGTTATGCCCATTAAGGCGAATGAAGAGTGGAGTAAAATAAATCAATTTTTAACCGATGCCTACATATCCCTATCCCCCCATACACTCTGTCTCATGGCATTCAATCACTGATCATATTATTAAAGCATAAAAACTATATTATATTTAAAAGTACAAAATTCTGCTCCATTTTATATCCACACATAAATCAGTGCAAAGATTTTGTCCGCAAAAAATGTTCAGCAATTTTGATGGGAAGTTAAGTTAAGACAACATATTATTCATCGCTTACTCTTTGCGTACAAAGCAATCGATACTTTCATTAAACCTTTCGTCTCCTCATCCCAAGTGAACCACACATTCAGACCCTCACTGTTACTGTTGTATGCATTTTGTACGAGTATTATATGAGATGGCGAATCAAAATTACTATAAAATTGATGCAAAATATTGGTTTTATGAAAACAGGAAAGTAATCGCTTTTTCAGTGAAAAAAAAATTATATTTTTCACATCTTTTGATTCGATCGCATAGTAAGAGAGAGAGAGAGAGAGAGAGAGAGAGAGAGAGAGAGAGAGATCCAGAGCCTAAGCCTTTTATATTTAAATCCTTTGATACAGAAAACGAGTGGAAATTTCTATGCATTAAAATAGAGTTTGAGATGATTTGCAATAAATT